ATTGGACAGTTCATTCAATCCAACTATTCCCCTCCTCGGTATTTTCCCAGAAAAATTGAAAACATCATACCACAGCGATATATGTGCAGCCATGTTCATAGCAGCACAATTTGTAATAGCTAAATCTTGAAAACAAGCAAAATGCCCATCAACTGCAAAATGGAGGAAAAAGATGTGGTATTTTTATGTAATGGCATATTACTCAACTACAAAAAAGAATGCTCTCGAGACTTTCATAGGTAAATGAAGGCAACTTGAGACCATACACATAAGTTAAATAAATCACACTTACCTCTGTAAATATTGTATTGGCTCTCTAGTATAAAAAATAATTAAAAACTGAAAGAGTAGTAAGATCAAAAATGTGTAATAGATATTGTAATAATGAAAGGGAAGGAGTGCTCTAACGGAGATAACTATGTTTATTTAAGTGTACAAGACATATAACCATAACTAAGTTTTTGTTGGCTCATCAAACAGAATGGTTTGTACTGTCATTGTTCATTTTTTATGCTTTGATTTTGTAACTTGAACTACTTCTAAGATAATAATATGTAATTTATCAACACGTGATTTCTTACTTTTTTTGACTATTTTTTTGAAATTCTGTATTGTTTCTACCCTGTTTTGCTTTTTTCTCTAAATTTAAAAAAACTAACGCAAAAGATAAAAATTGTCTTTTATAAAATCACTGATCTTCAAGGAAAAACTCCTAAAATGTCCACAATATAGTTCCATTCTTTCATTTACTGAGAACAAACAAAAGATGTCAGAAGTTTAAAAACAAAACCAAATCATACTACTCTTACGATAATTATTCCAAATCATCAAATCTTTGTTACAAACATTCAGAACACCCAAAGTCACCCTTTGAATTATATGCATTAGCTCAAACTGGCAGCTTGTGAAAAAGCACAAATTAAACCCCAATTAAAAAGTGAGCTTGGCCAGGCATGGTGACTTATCGTCATAATCTCAGCACTGGGGAGGCTGAGGCAGGAGGATTGACTCAAATTCAAGGCCAGCCTGGGCTATACAGTAAGTTCAAGGCCAGCTTGAACTGCACAGCGAGATCCTGTCTCAAAAAAAGAAAGGAAGAGAAAAAGTGAGCTTTACATGTGACAGTCCATCAACAAGTAAATACAAATGTGGTAATTTCAAGCTCTATTAGAAATGGAGTTGAGTCACACTTGCACATGAAGAAAAAGTATGACTGTTAATTTAAAAAAACTAAAGAAAATAATGAGTAGTTAAGACATTCCAATCGACAAGGGAAATGTTAATATTTTATTTTGAAATGTGGTTATTTTTGCACACTTTGAATTTTCAATGATGGATAATTTGGCACAGTGCTCCCACCACATGAGCAAACAGTAGTCACAGGAAGCACAGGAAGTCAAGCCAGAAGGTCCACCTCCATATACCGTACAGTCCTACTAGGTGACACCAACGTTTTCAAGGTCTAAAGGCAAACTCAGTCACTGGGGCAAGTTACACCTGCAGCTCTGTGCCACTCTCTCAGATGCCTAATGTGTTTCACTTTTTTCTTTAACACATGCATGACTGTCCCAATCAATTGTTACGTTTAGTCACAATATATTTTTTTAAATGTATACCTTTTTCCTCAAGAACTCTACTTCTAAGAGTACAGGGGGGAATGGGGGAGAAACAAAGGGGCTAAAAAAAAAAAGGAATTAAATTGTGTTATACATAACTACTAACTCCACACAAGGAGTGCAAACATTATATACTACAAACATGTATTAAAATTAAAAATTCAAAGAGTTTGTGCAAACATGGATCAGTATTCACAAAACTTTTAAGAAGAAAAACACTGAAAAAGAGTCGGAGATGTTTAAAACAAAAAAAAGTAGTTATCCTAAAATAATAATCAAGGATGGCTGCCCTGGAAGCAAGCATGCTAAATGTCCAACAGAGACATTAAAGAAGCTATATAATGACATCAGTGACATGCCATATCAACACTGTGCAATTAGCCAACTTTTATCAACTCAAAAGCACAAATTATTTCATTTACAAGTCTCTAAAATCTGAATGTCTTATAGATTGACAGAATTTTCTAGGTTAGACAGCTTCTTTTTTACTTGGTTTTTGGTTTGTTTTTTGTTTTGTTTTGTTTTTTATACTGAAAACCGAATCCAAGACCTTTGCACTGAGCTATATCCTCAGACCTTTATAATTTTTTTTTTATTTTAAGACAGGGTCTCAGGGCTGGGGATTTAGTTCGATGGCATAAGCACCTGCTTTGCAAGCATGCGGTCGTGAATTCAATCCCCAGTACCAAAAGAAAAAAAAAGACAGGGTCTCAACTAAGTTGCCCAGCCTGAGTTATAATTAGAATCCTCCTGCTCGGCATCCCAGAATGCTAAGATTATAGACATACACCACTGCAACCAGCAGTATTTGTTTTTAGTATTGTATAAAATAAAAGTTGATTTTATATGACCAGGAGAAATGTTCAGTTTATAATAAGTACAGTCAATTACAAATAAGCGCTCAAAGTAAACAATTTTATAAGGTTATAAAATAGTATGTATCTCTAGAAAAAAAAGATATACACAAAATGTTTACAGTTCTCTCTAGGTAGTTCTAGTAGTTCTTGCTGCGCAGATGTTATTATTTTGATGTACTAGGAATTGAACCCAAGGTCTCATGCCTGTTTCACCACTCAACTATATCCCCAATCCCCGCCCTACCTTTTTGAGACAGGGAATCACTAAATTGCCCAGGCTGGCCTCAAATTTGTGATCTTCCTGCATCAGCCTCCCAAGCAGTTGAGATTACAGGTATGCACCTGCAGTGCTGGCTAAATAAGTTTTTCTTTTTTAAAAAATTAATTAACTAGACATGAAGCCATTCCTCCGTTTTCATACCTACATGGCACAAATCTGTACCTAAATGTACCTACTGTAACTAATTAAATATTTATTGAATAGTACCTGCTATGTGCAAACAAGTCACTCCAGTATCACAGGAATCAGAAAGATACAAAAAAATGTTAATTGCTTTGACAAAAATAGCATCTAGCAAAGGAATTCATGGTCTGCAAGGCTTTTAATGAAGGTATGTCAGCAACTCAGTGATATTTAAATGCTAAACATATCCTATAATTTTACCCAAAGACAATCCTTTAAACCAGGCTTGGTGGTATACTCTGTAATCCCAGCTGAGGTAGAGTTGCTGTGACTTCAAGGTCAGTTTAGGATACAACATAGTGAGTTCAAAGCTAGCCTGAACTATATAGCCAAAAAAAATAAAAATAAAAAGACATCCCTTTAATATGGATAAAAATATGTCCTGTCTCAAGCACTGAATAACTGAAAGAATAAATCAGTGTTTTACCATATCAGAAACTAAATATCCATTATAAACTATTTTATTCATTATGCAAATGACAAAGTTCAAACTCTAGAACTGTCTCATAAAAACTCCTGAAACCATGCTACCATCATAATTCATCAGCTAATACATATATAACCAATGATAAATTAGCAATAACAAGAAATATCTTACAATATAACTTTACTATAACCTGTGATGAAGCACAATTTTTAAACTTCTTTCTTTGCTCACCATGTGCTCATTGTACAGGATGGTAAAGTGGCCAAAAAATAACTAATTGCTGCTGAAAACTAAATCCAGGACCTGTGCACTGAGCTATAGCCTTGTATCTTTTAAATTTTTTTAATTTCAAGACAAGGTCTCCACAGTTCAGATGAAAGGACAAAGCAGCCCTGAGGAAAACCTGTAATACTGAATTTCACAATGATTTCTTAAATATGACACCAGAAGTACAGGCAACAAAAAATAAACTGCACTTCGATTCAAATTAAAAACTTTGCACACCAAAATTAATACCCAAACCATATAAACTATTCTTACAAACTCAGTAACAACCACACATATTGCACATACACGCTTCTTGCCTAGGGTATGGCTCAATGGTATAGGGCTTAACTAGCAGTAATAAGGCCCTAAATTCAATCCTCACAAGAAAAAAAAAAAATGCACAATTCACACAGGGCTCATTGGTGCACATCTCTGATCCTACCAATTTGTCATGTTGAGGTAAGAGGACTGCAAGTTCTAGGCCAGCCTGGGCAACCTGTCTCATTATGGCTGAAACTGTAGTTCAGTGGTAGGGCGCTTGGTTTCAATCCTCAGTAACTTGTTGTTTCTCTAACACAACATACAAACAGCCAATAACAACATGAAAAAATGCTCAATATCTCTCATTTGAGAATTGCAAATCAAAACCACAATGACAAAACTGCCTCAACTCACCAGGATAGCTCTCACCAAAACAAAACAAATTTAAAAATCTGGTCAGAAATGGTGGCACATACCTGTAATCTTAGCACTTGGGAGGCTGAGGCAGGAAGATCATGAATCTGAGGATTGTGAACTACAAAGCAAATTCCAAGCTTGAATTACATAAAAGAGCCCATCTCAAAAACCAAAAATAAATAAAATAGACTGTAACAAGTATTGGTGGAGACGTAGAAAAACTGAAACCTTTGGTGCACTGCTAGTAGGGATATAAAATGGTTCCAGTGCTATAGTCCTTCAAAACGTTAAAACACACAATTATAATCCAGCAATTCCATTTCTGGGTATACTCCCCAAAAAACTGAAAGCTGGAACACAAACGGCATTCTCATAACAGCATTACAGCAGCCAAAAAACAATGGATATTGAGTCTTAAAAAGGAACGTTCTAAAACATGCTTTAACATGAATGAAACTTAAAAGACAAAACAAATACCCAACGATTCTGCATTTATAAAGTATTTAAAGCAGTCAAAATCAAAAAGACAGAAAAGTAGTTGCCAAGCAAAGGAAATATGAATAGGATGTTATTGATTACTTCATACAGAATTCAGTTTGGAAAAATGAAAAAAGTTCTGGAGACACATGGTTGGTAATGGCTGCAATAATGTGAACATATTTAATGCTACTGAAGCATATACTTAAAGTTTAGTGTTCACTTTAGCAGCACATACACTAAAAATGGGAATGATACAGAGAGGATTAGCATGGCCCCTTGCGAAATGATGATATGCAAATTTATGAAGCGCCCCATATTTAAAAAAAAATTTAGTCAGGTGTAGTGGTGCATGCTTGTAGTCTCAAGACTCGGGGAGCTGAGGCCAGAGGATCATGAGTTCGAGGCCAGTCTGGGTTACACAGTGAGTACAAGGCCAACCTAAACTGGATAACAAGGCATGTCTTAAAAAAAAAAAAAAAAAAAAATCCCTTTGGTAATTTTTAAACATACTTTACCACAAAAGAGAAAATTTTTAAAGGTAGTGAAACCGTTATAAAGCAAGTTGAAATTTTAGAATATCAGATAAATACCCAAGCAATGTGATCACAGTTTCCAGGAAAACAAATTAATCAGCCTTTGGAGACAAGAAGCATTTGTTAGATAAGGATGCAACATTCCAGCAAAATGGCAAAGGGCAGTGGTGGCGCACTCCTGTAATTGGGAGGCTGACGCAAAGGGATCTTTACAAGATTGAGGCCAGGCCAGGCTACAAAGTGAGCCCAAGGCCAGCCTGAACCACCTACTGAGACCCTGTCTCACAAAGACCAAAAAAAAAAAAGGAAAAGGAAAAGAAGTGTAAATGTCTGGTAGATGCAGAGGACTAGCAACAATTTACAATAGAAAAAAAGTCTGAAAAAAGTAAGGTCCACAATTAAAGCCCTTGAATGCCAGTACAGGACTCTTTAACTAGCAAAATGATAAAGCAGGAACTTTCTTAAATGAGTGCAAATTTACTTTTACATGTAAAAGACTGGATGGTGGAGAACACAAGAAAAAAAAGCAATTAATTTTGTTAGTTACAAATATTCCTCCTTTGACAGCCTACTTTTTTTAATTACTGAACTTTTACAAACGAAAGTACATTGTTAAGACTTAATGACCTGCCACTTGGACTCAGGATCTTTTTTTTTTTTTTTTTTTTGTACAGTTCTGTGAAGCTTGTTTATAAAGTCTCAGTATGTTTTTATTGCATGATATACTTTGTTTATAAAGCACTGTAATTTTTTGCTGACTACTATTATTATAGTATTATAGTATTACAGTAATGTATGTTGTTACACATTACAATATTGCACACAAGAGTTATGCAAAAAAACCAAGTCATCAAATTGGAGTTTCCTTTGACCATTTCTTTGTTCTGAATATTTACATACCACATACAATTCCTCATTTAGCAACCAACTCATCCAAGACCTACTTGTGGGACTATAGTTCAGTCCTTAAATGAGGAATGTCTGTATTGAGTAATCATAATGTTCCAGGGCCTGAGACTTAAAACTCATGGCAGCAGCTGGATGAATGGCACACGCAAAGGCAAGTAGGGATTTCTGGAGTGCTGATATTTCACCATCTCTTGGTCTAGTCAGTGAATATGGATGGCATCTACTTTGTATTAATAAGCCAAACAGGTAGTCATGATTTGAGCACTGTCGCACTTTAAAGAGTTTTATTAAAGACACATGGGTATGGTGGTACACATCTATAATCCCAGCACCTAAAAGGCTGAGGCAGAAGGCTCTCTGCCAAGTTTTGAGCCCAGCTCAGCCTAGTTACATAGTGAGCTCAAGGCCAGCTTGAACTAGAAAGCGAGACCCTGTCTCAAAAAAAAAGTTTTATTAAAGGTAAAAGACTACCTAGGTTTGGTGACACATAGTAGTCCCAGTACTAGGAGGCTGAGGCAGGAGGAGGATCACTGCAAATCTGAGGCCAGCCTAGGTTATAAAGTGAATTCAGAGGTTAGCCTGAACTGTATATCTCAAAAAGAAAAAAATTTTTTAACGAAGGCTAGGGTTGTAGTTCAGTGATAGATCATTTGGCTAGTGTGTATGAGGCCTTGGTACTACACACACTATCTAACATGATAAATAAGGCAACCACAACAGATGTACCAGATACCTAAAGTGTAGTGTACTGAGATCCAAAAGAAAACCCAGAGGCAGTAATGTCTAAGATGTATTGTGATACTGGGTTTAAACCCTGGGTCTTCCCACTAGTTACACTCCTATCCCTTTTTTTTATTTCTTGAGACAAGGTCTCACTAAACTACTAAATTCCCAGACTGGACTTGAACTCTGCAATCCTCCCAGCTCAGCCTCTCAGGGTGCTGGGATACTAGCATGAGCTATCATACTGAGATTCTAAAGTATATTTTAAGAACAAACAGCACAGCATTTAGTTAAATGAAAAAAGCAAGATTTAAGACAGTGGTGGTGAACCCGTGTGCCAGTGAGTTGTTTGTATCATTGAAAGCTCTAAAAGGTTTGCCATCACTGATCTAAGGGAACGATATGATCTAAGGGAACATAAGAAAAAATGTACCAAACCAAGCCAATAAAAGTTTATCCAAAAAACTTGTTTCCACTGGTCTAAACTACAGTGGAAGCATAGAACAGAACAAGGTACGTAAGTTAGGAAGTATAAAAAGCATTTCATCAGCAACTGGATATGTGTCAAAAGGAAGAAAGGAGAGTTGGAGATGGTTCACAATGTGCCCAAAACAGCAATTTGATACCCTGAGCCCTCCACAATCCACTTTTTTCTCCTTTCAGTAAGCATCTCCAAGATCTAATGCTTCAGGGAGATTTTAAGACTAACTTTCTAGCACTCTTTAGGCAAACAGGGATATTGACAATACAGTACAGCACAATGGAAGTATGCCTTTAAAAAATGAGCAAAGGGCAGTGCCATGCCTATAGTGCCACAATGGCAATGCCTGTAATCCCAGCACAAAGGGAGGCAGAGGTAGGAGGATGCACCTGGGAACTCAGGGAGCTATTGCCAATAGATGGATAGACAGATAAATGGGCTGAGATGTAGTTTGGCGCAAAGGCCCATAGTTTGTAGGGCAGTAGCAGCAAACCTACTGCACATCTGCTGCAGTGGGCATCAGCTGCAGTGGGCAGGCAGACAGCCCTCTCTGTTAACATGCAAGCCCAGTCACCACAGCACCTAAGCATCAGAGAACAGTTCTCTTTCTAATTAAAATCTCAGTATTGCAGGTTTAACTGCAATGTTGGTACTTTATGATAAGTAAATGGTTTTGAGGTTGCAGTTTGGGTTCTTGGTCTCTAAAGGTTCACCATCACTGCCCTACGGGATAAGCAGTTTAGCAGGAAGTTTGTTACCAAATATGAAAATGCTGTAGTGTGTGTGTGTTTGTGTGTGTGTGCGCGCGCGGCTCACTATGTTTTTTAGATGCTCTTCAACTCACTATGTAGCCCAGGCTGGCCTCAAACTAACGGTGATCCTTCAGTCTACCTTTACAAGTGCTAGCATTACAAGGAAGCATCACCACAATCAGCTTGAAAAGGCTGTATCTTAAAATATTACTAAGAAATTGTGAAAGAGACCAAAAAGTGGGGGGCTGGGGATTTAGCTCAGCGGCATAAGCGCCTGCCTTGCAAGTGTGTGGTCGTGAGTTCAATGCCCGGTACCGATAAAAAGAAAAGGACAAAAAAAAGAAATTGTGAAAGGAGGAAGGGCACAAGGAACACATGCAGGCATCAGTGAGGAAACAACTTCACAAAGAAAATTCACATTTTTAGCCCTGACTCATTTCTCCAAAATGTAACTCCTTTCATCCCTATCACCTTTACCTCCACTTTCTGGATTCCCATGTCAACTCCTGGCTTTCATAAGCATACAAATGCAAGCCTTCTGTAAACATTAGCAGGAGTTAGAAAGGTTATCACACCGTGAAACTTCCTACAGTGGATTCTTCTTTAGAATAAAACTGAAACATGGCCCTCTGTGACTTGGTCTTCCTTTCCCCAGCAATCTCCATGAGGTCTTTTCCCAAACCCAAGAGTATTCAAGCTGTACGGATCTCGCTCAGGCCACTAACACCCATCATCTTTCCTGTCTCTGGTCTTAACACCTGCAAGGGACTCTGATCCTTCTGTACAGATCTTCACCAGCACACATATCTACATGGCCCCCAACTATCACACCCTCCTATTACGTCTCACACTGTTACTTTTATTTTTTGAAACATGGTCTCTCCAAGTAATTTAGGCTATCCTCAAACTTACTATGGAGCCCAGGCTGGCCTCAGACTCACAGCGATCCTCCTGCCTCAGCTTCCAGAATTCAGGGGTTATAGGCATACAGAACAGGCTGGGTTCACACTGTTAGTTTCTCAAAGAACTTCCAAGACCAGCTTCTCTAAATCTTCTCATCTGGGCCCATCTTTTAAAATTTTTTTTTTTTTTTTTGTCTTTTTCTTTTTTATTGGTACCGGGGATCGAACTCACCCGACTGCCTGCTTGCAAGGCAGGTGCTTATGCCGCTGAGCTAAATCCCCAGCCCCCGTTTTGTTTTTTTTTTTTAATTTTTTTTGTCTTTTTCTTTTTTATTGTGGGCCCATCTTGAACATGATAAGTCTAACTCAATTCACATTTCATCCAGTTCAAAAGTCACATCCCAGAAGTCTTTCTGTACTTATTCAAATAAATTCATTAAACTTATTAGGCATCTCTCCCTGGCTCCGCAAGTTTTTCTGTTAGCTTTTACATAGCAGTCTGAGGTACACCTGAGTATGTATCTCCTTCATTATATGTGAGCTGTTGGGGCAAAGACCCGTACTAATCACTTGTGAGACCTGAAAACAGAGGAAATATTTTTAATGCGATAAAAGTCAAGAAGGGTGAACAACTGAGCAGTCTATGATCACTCCACTCTTTCTTTTTGTAAAATAAAACACATCTAATTAATATGATTTACAAATTCTGTTTAAGAAACAACTACCTATCAAGTCTCTCAAAACCACTGCCAAAGCCAAAATACCCTCTTCATCCCAACGCCTATCCTGCCACAATACGATGTAAAGACTTCCTTTTTCATTAATGTGGAATATCTTTAACTTGGAAATAATGTATCTCTCTTTTCTAAAATACGAAAATTCTTGCCAAAACACACACAGAAAAAAAAAGAAAGAAAGATGCAGGAGGACAGGAGGGTGTCACTCCTGGCCTCGGACGAGCCCCCGCCTGCATTATTGGGAAGCCATTGCTGCCAACCCAAGGATAGGCATGGATATTTTTCCAACAAGTTGTTCAAACACACATAGGGACTCCTGAAAGTCAACAGCAACAAAATACTTAAAGTGCCACTCCTGAAAATGGTATCTACAAGCGAAATGTGTCCGACTGAATACACAACAGGGCTGAGTAATTTGAAGAAAAGATTAACACAGAAAACCCCGTAAGTCCACGCGGGCGTGGCGCACCTTTCAGCAGCCAGGCTGTGTAAGCCAAGGAAGAGCCGTGCCTTTCTCCGGACTCCGCTCGGGCCGGAACCCGGGCTCCGCCGACGTCCAGACCCGCAGCCCCGGAAGTTTCAGGGGAGGGGGAGGGCAACCGCCGCCGCCACACCAGACAACAACCACCTCCCAGGAGAACAACAGCCCGAACGCGCCCGCCCGGGGACCCCTAGCGGGCGCACCCCGCACAGACGCGGGGGCCGAGGGCCCTGGAAAAGTTTACAAGCCAGGAGAAACTTTTTGAGAGCAAACTCCCGCTGCCTCGCGGGGCCTGTGGCGTGGCCTCTTCCCCAGCCACTGCAGCCCCTCAACTTCCCAGAGCTGGGAAGCGCCTCCACAGTCCGGGCCCGTGGGGAACGTCCGACTCGCGCCCGCGGAGCCCAACGCGGAGCGGCGCCTCCGAGGAGACGGGGCCAGCGAGGTCCGGCTGCAGCCGGCCGTCCCGAGGAGCGCCCCGCCGGGCTGGCCACCCCGCAGCCGCGCGGAGGGAGGTGCGAAGTTACCTGCGGTGAGCTGGGGGAGCGCAGCAGGAGTCCTGAGGCGCGGAGCCCAGAGCCGCCGCTTTGTGTCCCTTCGGGTCCGGCTCCGAGGAGGAAATGGGCCGCCCGGCGCCCCCGCCCCCCGCCCCGCGGCCCGGGCCCCGCCCGCCCTTCCCGGCACCTCCCTCCGGCGCGCTCTTCCCGGAGCCTCCCGCCGGCACTGCACCCGCGCCTCCAGGTCTCCGGACGCGCTCGCTCTGCCAGCACCCTCTCCCCGCAAGGCGAACCCTACCAAGCCAGGCCAGGACCCCAAAGAACCTCTCACTCTCCTCTTCCCACCCAGAGTTACTTCTCCCAAACCTTTGGGGTACGCGAACCGGGAGTGACCCACGGTGAGGGAGGGGCGGTGACTCCTAGAACAGCCGCGCGGGGGAGGGCCGTGGAGGGCAGGTGAGTCACTGCACAGGTGAGTCTCAGGGCGCGGCCCCGACAGACCCTGCCCCCCGCTCGACGCCCGCGGGTCGGGGCGAGGCGGCGCGAAGTCCTGGGCGTGCTGCCCTGAGCAATGGCACTGGTGTCACGGAGTCCCAGGCTCCCAGAAAAGTGCGCTAAGCCCACTCCCTACCTTTTCCAAAGGAGAAACTGAGGTCAGATAGAATATGCCACCATTCAGGGCAGAGTGAAAGAATCCGAGCCTCCTGACCCCTTGGGCTAGGGCTACAGCTCAGTTACTGTGTGCTTGGCCAGCATGAGCAAGGCCCAGCCCAATCCCCAGCACGGTCCTGGAAATCACCTACCTGTCCCATCACGCAACAGATGGCAAAACTGAAAGCCCTCCCAATCCAAAGCAGGAGTCACCCAACACAAATTCGAGGGACCTGACGTACCCCTACTTTCTAACCATTTAGGTAATTTTATTTACATCCTTCTTTCCTTCTTGCTGAATACTCATAAAACATACAAAACAAACCTTAAAAAAAAAAAGCATACTGGAGCCAGACATGGTGCATACCTCCATCCAGTCCCAGCCCCCAGGAGTCTAAAGCAGAAGAATCACTGATGGTGAGGTCAGCCTGGGCAACACAGTGAATTCAAGGCCAGTCCAAATTGCATAGGGAGACCCTGTCTCAAAAAAAGTACTGAAATTGAACTCAGGGGCCTTCACATTGAGCTACATTCCCAGCCTTTTTTTAAAATGTATTTTTCTACAGGATCTCATTAAAAACTGCTAATTTGCCTGGGCTGGGCTTAAATTTACTATCCTGCTTCAGCTTCCCAGAGTGCCTCCAAAGCCCTACCTTCGTGAGTCTATTGTAAAATCATCAGCCCTTGATCATTCTTCTCAAAACACGTCGTTCCTCATGGGCCTCCAGGACCCAGTCTTTAGGATTGTGCTTCAACCTCACTGGCTTTTAAGTCTCATTAAAGCATGCCTTCTCAATCCTCCTGGACTCTGTTGAAGCACTGGTTCTTCTTAAAGCATGCGCTGGGAATCCCTGACAACTTCTCTGGGAGAAAGGTAAGAGCTATTTGCATAATAATGAAGTATTACTTGCCTTTTCCACTACTGTTCTTTGGTGGGTGTAAATTAGAGTGTTCCACAAACTATATAATGTATGGTATGGCATCACATGGAGTATAAAAGCAGATTTGAGAATCCAGCCATCTTTTATTAAGCCAAACTTAGAGATAGGAAAAAGTGCAGGATAACACTTCTCCCTGAGTTTTATTCTTTTATTAAAAATTTTATCCTTCATTAAAGAAATATTGACAGATAAAACTTAGATAAGCTGGGCTAACAGTTTAGCTCAAAGGCATAAGTGCCTGCCTGGCAAATGTAGGGTCCTGAGTTGGATTCCCAAAACCAAAAAAAAAAAAATTACATAAGCAAGAGCTCCATGAGACCTTTAAAATTTTTCATAGTGTAAAATAATTTTAAGATTAAAAAAAAAAACTTAAGAACTACTACTAGAGTGTCCTGCAGGCCCACTCATTTTTCCGTTACCAAACTACTGATGATCTTATTTATTTAGTCTTTTGGCTATACATATGCTGATAGATTGAGATTTACATCTTAAACCTGACGCTTCTCCTCTATTCCAGCTCCCTACTTAGTATCTCTATTAGGATATCTAGTAAATAGTGAAACACCTTAAACTTCACATGTCTGTATGTCCAGAACTAACTTAATACCTCTGTCCAAACCTGCTGACTTCACAGGGTTTTGGTTTGTTTGTTTGATTGGTTGGTTTGATTCGGTTTGTTTGTTTTTTTAAACAGTGTCTTTACTATGTATTTCAGGCTAACTTGAACTCACTACATTGCCCTCTAGGAGATCCTCTGCCTAGCCTTATGATTATGGGGTTATAGGCATGTACCACCACTCCTAGCTTGATCTCACAGTTGTTTTTTGTTTTTTTCCTTAAATTAGTGACTCCATTCTTCAAAAACCTTGAAGTTATCCTTGACTATTTTGTTTCACTTACATTTTTTGCATCTGATTCCTTCAAAATATATTCAGAATCCAGTGACTTTTTAATTTCTCCATTATTATCATACTAAACTAAACCATCATCATTTCTGCCTGAATTTCATAGGAGGCACCTACTGATTTCCCTGTTTCTACCCTTGCCTCACTCAGTCTCACCTCAGTTCAGCAGCCTGAGTGCTCCTGTTAAAGCCTAAGTTGCAACACGTTGCCCCTATGCTGCCAAACCTCCAACAGCTCTCACTAAGAACAAAAGTGACATCCTTATAAGGGCCTGCAGCGCTCACTTCCCCCCACTACTTCTCTGACATAGTGACCTCCTTACTATTCTTGAAACAGCTCAGGCAGTCTCTTGCCTCAGGGCTTTTCCTTTCTGCCTGGAATTCTTTCCTCCTAATACCTTCCTGACTCACTCCCTTGCCTCTGGTAGGCCTTTGCTGAGCTGTCACTTTTTAGTGAGGCTTCCTCTTGCCCACAGTTTCTAAAAATTACAAACCCTGCCTCCGACCCCTCTCTTCCTTATTGATTTTTCTTCTTAGTGTGTATACCTTGACATAGAAAGTCATATTTGTCATACATATATATTTTAATGTATATATTGTATACAAAGCCACATATATTTAATTTTATAGTTCATTTCTTTTTTCAGTCTTCCTTCCATTAGCATTTGTGGAACATGCGGGCCACGTCTATTTTGTCTATTTTGTTCAAGAGGTCCCTGGTACCTAGACTAGTACTTATCACATAGCAGTGTCCTCAATAAATATTTGTTGAATCAATGCATAAGTGAGATCTAGAGAAGATGTCAATAAAGTAGACGGGTAGGAAAGGAATATGATTGTAGACCAATAAAATAAGCAAGGTTGAAGCTCCTGTGTCCCATTCCAGGAAAAAATGCCCTGTACTTTGAGAGCTAGCCAGCTTGGCAGAGGCCAGACTGGAGAGGACTTTGTAAGGCTAAAGCCTTTAGTGTGAGAGAAATGCTAAAGGCTAAAGACTTTAGTGTGAGAGAAATGGGAAGCCATGAGAGATTTTACACAAAAGGATGACATGATCATATTTTGATTTTTTAAAATTCGCTTTGAAAAAAAAGATAGTAAAGCAGTGCACGTAATATTCCATTTATGCTTAAATAATGAGCACATAACTGTTTCAAAGCCATTTCCTCATTGCAGCTGAACTGTGTGTATGTTTTGTTTTGTTTTATTTTGTTGCTTTTTGAGATATGGTCTCACTAACCTGAACTTACTATGTAGCCTCTTCTGTCCTCAAATTCACCTCCTGCCACACTGGAATACTTTTAAGATATGTCATTCTTTGTTCCATTGCTTCCCATCTCACTCTTGAGTAAAATCTTGTTGATCTTGCACAGTCAGACCACTCTCTGGGTTGTTATTGTGGTTGTTTTCCATGTTTTTACTCAAGCCCACCCTGAGGTCCAAGACATTCCGGTTAGTCATCAACCATCCACTTGACTCAAGGCCTTTGCATTTCCAGTTCCCTGTGCTTGGAATAGTCTTCCCCTGGTAACATCACTTCATTCAGATCTCTGGTCAAATGTCACCTTGTCCAAGAAGCTTTCCTGATCACTGTTGGTACAAACGCACCAGCTGCTACTTCCCTTTTCCCCTCCCCATTGTATTTTCTTACTTTACTCTTTGTAGCACTTACTGCCTTGACGTACTGTATGATTATTTACTTACCTATAGCCTATAGAATGAAAGTGTCGTGCTAGGTGCATGGCACATATCTGTAATCCCAACTACTTATGCGGCTAAGGCATAACAAGTTTGAGTCCAGCCTAGACAATTTAGACATTTAGCAAGACCTAATCTTAAAAAACAAACAAATTTAAAAACTAAGAATAAAAAGAGTGGAGAATATAGCTCAGTACAAAGGTCCTGGGTTCAATCCTCAACATCATTAAAGCAGATCTTTTCTCTCTGTTATAATAACTCTAGCACTTAGAATAGTGCCTCACAGGAAATGGGTACTTAATTTAATGAACGAATAGTTACAAGTCTGTAGAGATACACAGCAAAGTGTTACAGTGGTTGCTTGCAGGAAAGAGATTGAGAGGACTTTTATAGGATAGGTACATAGTGTAACAGATAGTACAGAATAGTAGTGAGGGTGAAAAGAAGTGGGTAGATTTGCAAGCTATGCAGAACAGAAGATCCTAGGCCTTGACAGAGGATTGGATGTAGAAATAGGGAAGAAGTCCAGGATGAATCCAAGGTTGCTAGTTCAATCAGTAGAGGAAGCAGCAGAGCTATTTATTTCTATTTACATAGAAAGTCCAAGAGATAAAACAGGTGGAAAATAATGCAGACAGCTAATTTTCAGTCATGTTTAGTTTCAGCATCCACCAAACATATAACAGGAGATCCTGTAGACAGGAGAATAACCAGATGTCAGCTCAGGAAAGGCTCTGAATGGAGCGAGAGATGTGAAAGTCAAAATACTGAGAGAAGGAGCAGCGAAAAGAGATGGAGGCCTAGGATCATGTGGTCTTGTCAGATTTTCTTAATTCTCTGCTGCTATAATTTAGTATTAGTGACTGAAACATAAAATATACCTTTAAAATATTAGCTAAGGACAGGGTGTGACTCACTAGTAGAGCACTTGTCTAGCATCCACAGGGATGAGGGTTCAGTTCCCAGCACTGACAAATGAACAAAAATTTTCAGAAAAAATGAAAAACCATAGACAGAGGGAAAAAAATCATAAAAGTATCATAAAACCATAACATCAGAATTGTCAAAAAAGATGAACTATCAGAAATCAGTTTAGAGATTTTTCCATATCATGGTGACCTCATTATTATTTACCTACAATATACTAGCAAATGGTTTTGCAGAGTACAAAGCACTTTTTCCTGAATGTTACTTCATTTGAGATACTCCTAAACCCTTAAGGAAGTGAGTAAAATCCCAGAACAATGAAGTCAAGGACTGACAAAGCATCTTGTAAGGAAAGCTGGGAAATCTTTACCTCTTGGTGTAGCCACAGAACATGAGCACTCCTCCCCGACTAGGCCCCATAGAAAACATCAAAGGGACTCTTGGTATAGCTTGGGGAGAGCTGACAAAGGAGACAGCAGAGCCAAGTGTATGACTACATTATGGTTAGCTGAGCCTGACGGCACTGGTTGCCTTTCAGCTCCTTTTCAGATGAGTGGGAGAAGAGCAGCAGGCCTTGCTACTCTAGGACTTTTGTTGTGTTAGCTTAGTAAACAGCAGGGCATTTCCATTCTCATACAGCTCAGTAATTCTCAACTCTGACTGCTCATAAGAATCACCTGGAGAGCTTTTCTAAAATATGATATCCAGAAACCATCTCCAGAGACTCAGATTCAGTTGTTCTTGAGGAGGGATTTAGCATTTTTAAAAATTTCCCTGGGTGGCTCTAATGTGTAGCCAGCATTCAGAGTCACTGATGCCTAGACTAAGCCTGAGCAGAAAACAAAATAAAGTCATATACATTCAGAATTTATTAATTTAGTTGCTCATACAATAATTGTTTTAATTTTTGATGACTCAAATAATATATTTACTGTCTTTGGTATATTAGGGCTAAGAGCTTCATATTTTATCAAAGCCATTCCATCACCCTTCAGTAGTTACTACTGTAACCTCATAAGAAAAAAAAGGCTTAGATCATTCTGGAAATACAAAATAGGGCTGGAACCCAGATCTCCCTGAGTCCAAAAGTGAGGAAGTGGGCATTTAGCTTAGTGGTAGTGTGAGGACTTGGGTTTGGTCTTTGGCAGAATAAAAAAAAAATCTATAGCCATGCCCGATTAGTCTCTGAAATGTCAATGATAAAAAAGAAAGAAAGAGAAAACTATTTTATAAAGCATATTCAAAATAGTTTTCATGTCAAGACTTTATTCATAATAAAAAAAAGACTTTATTCATGGAAGTAATTTAAATGCCTTGTAATGCTGTATTTATTTTGTCTTCATGCACAGCTTCTAGCAGGTGAAGTTCTTGAGGGGGTGGGCAGGATAGAAATTCAAGCACATCCCTTCCAGGAGAACTTTTCTAACAGGATGGCTTTGCCTTAACCAATGAGTTGAATTTTAAACAAAAAGAACCAAGCACAGTTCTTTGATACTTACAAAAGATGTGTGAGCTTCACTTTATTCATGTTATTCATCTTTCCTACAAAAACAGGAATCAAGATTTAGTTCTTAAAAATCAGTCAGCAGTGGGTGTTCGTGATTCTTTCTCCTTTGATATAATCAAAGATATATACATAAAAACAAACACTCCCCCTCCATTTCATGTTTATATTTGCGTTAATAACAGTGAGGAGAGAGAACTTGTAGGGGGAAAAGTTAAAGACTGTGACAACCTAGAAAAATTTTATATATATATATATATACAAATGTTATTTTAAGAGGTGAAGGAGGTAGAGGAAGGAAGTTATTTTTTCTTGTAAGTACCAGTGAGCTTTATTATGGAAACCTGGCTCTCTGTATTCACCATTCAAAATACTCTTTTTTGTCTCACATTTTCAAATTTTCATAGGGATCTGAAAAGGGCTATAAAGTAAGATTTGCTATATTATAATATAAATTGAATTAAATGAAGACACTTTAGATCTTAGATGTGTTGGTGGATGAATCACCTGTCTTCATTGTTTCTGTTGCCTGCCAATGTTTTGTTTTTGTTTCTTTAAATTCCAAGAAACTTGGAGAAAAAGAAAATCAGAGAGCTCCATGAGTTAGGAATCTTTATGTATCCTATGGGTCCCCCTATGGCTCTCTGAATAAAGGATTTAAACTGGAAGCCAGAGAGGCCTTTGTTTTTAGTTTATCTGTATTGAATTTGGCTGTGGGTTGGATGGAGTCAGGCAGGCCAAGTTGACTGTGGGATTTCTAGACACTATGAGCTCACAATGGAGTCTGGCAAAGTTTCATTCCATCCTGGCTCCCTCTATCAGCTCTTAGCAGGCCAGCTTTTTTTTTTTTTTTTTTTTTTTTTTAATTTCTTTAGTCACAATAAATTACCCTTATGTCTGCCTGGGAGTCTGGAAGGACCTGCCTACTGCCACAGAAGGCTATTATTGTATTCATTCATTCATCCTTTCATGTGCTCAATCAACACTACGGTGTCCCACACATTGTACTGAACCAAGAGATACAGTGGTGGGGAGCCTTCATGAAATTTAAGTTCAAGAGAGGAAGAAAGACAATAAATAGGTCACAAGTGAGCAGTATGATTTCAGAAAAGGGTCAATGGTTAGGAGATAGGAAGGAAGGGTACTCACTTAAATAGCTGAGCCAGAAAAGTCTTCATTGAGAAGCTGAGGCGGAACGACTGGAATGAGCCTTAGGCTGGGAGAGGAATAAGCCTGGCCTGTTCAAAGTGTGTGGAGGGCGGTAGTTGAGGATAAGAGTAGCTGTAAATGAGAGTGGAAGAAGTAGGGGTCAAATCATGTAAGACTTTGTAGGTGAGGAATTTGGATCTTTAGCTTAAGAGCAATGAGGGGACACCAGAGATACAGCTCAGAGGCACAGTACCTGCCTGGCAAGCAATTCCTGGTACCAAAACAAAACCAAAAAAGAGCAATGCAGGGGGAAGGGCAATGGGAAGCCCCATAGGATTAAACAGCAGAGTGAACGCAACCCAATCTGCAGTTTTAATTACTTTTTAGGGTCTCACTGTCCTTGAACTTGCTATGTAGCCCAGGTTGGCCTTAAAAGATCTTCCTGCCTCAGCATCCTGAGTACTGGGATTACATGTATGTCACCATGCCTGGCTTCTGATCTACATTTTTAAAAGGCTGCATTTTGATGTATAAAGAACGCAGTATAGCCCGGTGCAGTGGTGTGCACCTATAATCCCAGCTACTTAGAAGGCTGAGGTAGGAGGACTGCTTGAGCTGAGTTCAGGTCTGTTGTAGGAAATACAGGGTAGAGCCTATCTAGAATAAAAGAAAGAAGAAAGAAAGGGAAGAGAGGGGGAGGAAGAAGAGGACTAAGGGAACGTCATAATCCAAAGCCTGTCATCGTTCGTTCATTTATTCATGTACTCAGGGACATCACTGAGCCAGCATAAGGCCAGGGGTATATAGTTCCAGCCCACGAGACTGAGGCAAGACTTGAACCCAGGAGTTTGAGACCAGCCTGGGAAACACAGCAAGTGCCAAGCAATGGGTCAAGCATAGGGAAATCACAGTGAGAAAATGGTATTCCTCCTCACAAAGAGTTTAAAAAGTAGCTAGGTAAGCCAAGCGTGACGGCAGATCTTGTAATCCAAGCTGCTTGGGAAGTGAGGCAGGAGGGTCACAAGTTCAAGATCAGACTAGGCAACTTAGCAAGACCCTTTCTCAAAAAATAAAAAAAGGACTGGGGATGTAGTTCAGGAGGAGAGTGCTTGTTCATTTATTAGTCAGCTTTCTCATGACTGAGATATACCTAAAATCCATACTTTAAAGGGGGGAGAGGTATAAATAATTTAGCTCATGGCTTCAGGAGATTCAGGCCATGATTAGAAGGCTTCAAGGGAGAAACATCACAGCAAAAGACTGCGGAAGAGCAAAGATGCTTAGTTCATGGCAGCTGGGAAGCAGCACAGGGAACAGTGCCAGAAGATGAGGGATCAGAGAGACCACAAGGTCGTATCTCCATGACCTGCCCAGACGCATCCAGAAGTGCGCTTTGTTAATCCCTTGGTGGCTCATAAGCTGATCAAGTTGAAAGTCCACATTATCCATCACACCTAACATATGTGAGGCTCTGGTTTCAATCCCAGGTACTATGAAATAGAAATAAAACAAAGCAAACAAAATAATGTAAAATCTGGGCCCTTAAACTAAATTCTGTCATAGGGTTAACCTCCATATGTTATGGAAGCCCAAAGAAATTCATGTATTTAATAAATATTTATGTGCTAAGCTCTTGGGATACAATAGTAAACTAAACAGATGAGACCTATACCTTCATGATATTTACAGACTAATAGGGAAGACAGACATTAACAAAACACTCTCATGTACCTATCATTACCTATTGTGCTACGCGTTATGAAAGAAAAATAACATGAGAATGTATGAGAAGGGACTGTGTGATGATGGAAGCGGATTCCGAAAAGGTGTTTGAGCTGCACCTGAAAGATGAGCAGAAGGTAAGGAGTTAGGCAGGGTAAAGGGAGAGAAGGGAGGACGCTGCGGCCCACTGAGCTCCGATTCCAGCTCTGCGGATTAGGAAAGACTTCCTGACAACTAGGCTGTCCTGAAGAAGACGTAGAAGTTGTCCTGGTGAAGAGGAGTTGAACAGGAAGGAAAGACACCCCAGAACAACTGCAGAGCCCGTGCATGGACTGCAGAGAGGGGGCAAGTGGTTTGATGTAGCAGGATTACAGCGTGGGAAGATAGAGCATAGTCAAAGAAAATGGAAAAACGAGCAAGATTGAAATCATGTCATGGTAGGTATGGTGGCTCAGGCCTGTAAATCCTGACACTTAGGAGGCTGAGGCAGAAGGCTTGCAAGTTCAAATCCAGCCTGGGCTTCATAGAAGATGCAAGGTCAGTCCCAGGACTATACAGTAAGGCCCTATCTCAGGAAAAAAAAGAAGAAAAAAAACATCATGCTAAGATTTTGTTTTGAGTTTCATTCTGAGAGGCAGCAAGGATCTGCTAAACAATTTTTTAAATTTATGTATTTATTTGGTACCAGGGATTGAATTCATGACCTCACATTTGCCAAACAGGCATTTACACCTGCTGAGCTAAACCCCCGGCCCTGCTAAACAATTTTAAACAGGACACTGCCTGGACAATTAGACCATCAGGAGCTGCTTGAGCCCTACAATGTGCCACACTTTGTCGAGAAAAGTGGGTTCTACTGAAAATGCCCATGATGCTCTCTGTGAAAGCCTATTGGGATTTTCTGGGCTAAACAAGGACCAGAGTAGCAAATGACTATAGCCACTCCATTACTGCTTCTTTCCCGTGGACCAGCAGGAGCCGTGAATTCAGAAGGCATCTGCTTTTGATCCCTAGCAGAAAGAAGAAGGAGGAAGATGAGGAGAAGAGAAAGATGAAGGAGAAAGGGAAGAAAGGAAAGGGAAAGAGGAAGGAGGGGCAAGGGGGAAGGCTTCTGCTTGTTATCCTGAGCACTGGCTCCTTAATGCCCCCAGGACTGACACCCCAGGAACTCCAGGTTTCCTTTGCCTAGTAGACCATTGCTAGACCATTAGTAGACCTATACTAGACCATTATCTAGCATACAGGACAAAGTCCCTTTAGATATCAATAGCTTATTCTTTCTCATTCATTCGTGCAAGATATGGCTGACACTCCCGCACCCTGCCAATTCCTGTCATTTGCTCCCAACAGTCTCACCTTCTCTTGAAACTTTCAACCAAGTGCCTGGCTCTCCCATACTGAGAGCAGCTCCTGTACTTCCTAAACTTGTGAGAGTGAGAAGTACAGGAGCCTGTATGAGAGGCCTTAGGCTTAGAGGTGGGAGAAAAGGTAGCCTGTGTCTCCACTGAGGCTAAGGCTCAGGATACCGCTGTGAGATTCCTAAATTTAAATATATTCTAGGCCTGTGGTTTCCTGTCTTGGAAGAACATCCTATGGTTACAAGACAGTTCAAAACAATTTAGCCTGTTCTACAGATTCTTTGGGATCTCTTTCTTTTCACCAGCTGCCCCCTAATCCTGGGGAGCTTTCTTTCCCTAGATCTGCCTATGGTTGCATCCTTTTAACATTCAGGTTTCAACTCAAATGTTACCTCCTCAAAATCCCCTTCCTGACTACTCATCTAAGGTATCTGAATAGTTACTCTCTATTCTATCACTCTTGTATATTTTCTTCATAACACTTGTCATCATTCATAATTGTTTGTCTACTTGCTTATGATTGCTGTTCACCCTCTAGGATGTGATTTCATAGCAGGGACCTTGTCTGTCTTGTTCACTGTTTATCTCAGAACCTAGAACAATGGTCAGCACAGAGTAGGTAGTGAGTAAATAATGAACAAACGGGCCTTGCCTCTTTTTCCAGCCTCATCCCATCCTGATTCTATACTTACTCTGTGAGCGTAAGTGGGATAGAGGTTCATGGAGGTCTTCAGATCTGCCTTGCTAATCAGAGCCCCTAATTCCTTCACTCTGGACCATCTTTCCTTTCTCCCAACTATCCATCATTTTGCTCCAATATTTATTCTCCCTTTTATTACAGACTCTGAAATACTCCCAGAAATATTCAACCCTGATACATACTCTGTCCAGACTCATCTCTCTGTGTGGTAATGGCACATCCACCTGACACCTACCCCACCTTCTGTTAGCTCCAAAAGGAGACTACTCATTCACCTCCTCATCCCTAGCATGCAGCACAGTAACCAGCACACTGCAGGTAACTTCACTAATGTTTGTTGATTGACCAGACAGAATGATGCAGTTCAGAGAAATGTGAATTGGAAACTACTCATTTTTATGGCAGTGATAGGAAGGGTTGTTATGAATATGAACTTAAGCACAGAAGCCCCCTTTCCTATAGGCTACAGCAGGAAAACAACACCATTATTAAATTCCAGTAACTAACATCACCAGAGGTGAGTGTGGCCAACAATCCCAGCTTCTTGCTACCTATGTACTCCCATGTGGAAAGAACAGTTAATTCATGGGTGAATTACAGGAGCCTTGTCATTATCACCTCTGGCAGGATCAAGAGGTCTAGAGAAGTGCCCACAAGTTTGTGCAGTGCTCGCCACTCCACAAGCACATTCTCAACGCTCATCGTTGGAAGCCAAGGACAAGGAAAGTGTTTTCACCTTATTTGTGACTCTCAGAGAGATTGGTGCCCAAGGCGGCACCAGCAGGAGTGAACTGCTGTGTAGCTGCACCTTTATTCTGCTACTTGGAAGCCCTTAACGTGCTCATCCAACCTTCAGTTGCTAAGCTCCTAGAAGTCTCTATAATTATTGTTGTCTAAAATAAAGAACAGCAGAATATATAATTAGTTGCTTTTAATAAAACCATTTGTGAAGATGCTGATGATGATAGCAATTTTGATAATGATGATGATGACACTATCCCTGAAGGCAAGGAGGAGAGAACCCTTACCTTAGAATGGAGCCAGGGCTAGTATTACAGGAAAAGGGCTGATCAGGATGTAGCATTGCCTAGCACCTGAGCTGGACCCCCGAGTGGGACCACCTGTGACCTTCTCAGAGTGCCACTTCTCACTGGCTGTTTGGCCTTGCCAAACCTGATTTCTTCTCTCTAGGTGAAAAAACTACTCACTGAAACCTAGGGGTGGTTGGGAGGCTCTGTTCAAATAATGTCTCCAAAGCATTATTATAGTATCTGTATCACAATAAATGCTAAGCTATTTTTTTTTTTTGAGACAAGGCCTCACTATGTAGTTCAAGCTGGCCTTCAACTCACTATGTATCCCAAGCTGACCTCAAACTCACAACAATCCTCCTGCCTCAGCCTCCCAAATGCTAGAATTACAGACATGAGCTACCACATGCAGGTCAGATTATTACATATAGCATATCTTATGACGGGCTATGTTCTACATATTTCACATATATCACTTATATTGTAACCGTATAAGGCAGGTGCTAACATCATCTCTGTTTTATATTGGGAAAAAAAAAACTAAGACAGAGGAAAATTAAATAATTTGGCTATGATTTCAGAAAGCACCAGAGCTGGGTGCTGAACACAGGGTAGTCTGAGTCCAGAGCCTGACCTCCTAACCATTACATGACACGGCTATGACTGCTATGGGCATACACTGCTCAGAACCTTGTGGGGAGCAGAGCTGGCTGATCTTGGGATTCACCACAGAACTCGCATAATTCTATTCTTCCCCTGAGTCACCCCAGTCACAGGCTCAGGACTAGAATTAAACCATTCCTGCCCAACACAGGACTCCTCTAATGAGCCACTGATATGAAACACACAATAACATAAAATCAACTATATAATCACTTTTCAGTGGCATTAAACACATTCAAATAGCTGGCATTAAACATATTCAAATAGCACCACAACCACCCATCTCCATCTTCCCAAACTGAAACTCCCAATCCATTAAATAATAATCCCTCCACTATCTATTACCACGCCATTCCCTGGAAACTAGCATTCTACTTGTTTTTCATAAACTTGTCCAATCTCGGTGACTCAAATAAGTGGAATCATTTGTTCTTTTGTGACTGCTTAATTTCACTAAGCATAATATCTTCAGAGTTTATTCAAGTTGCAGCAAGTTTCAGAACTTCCTTCTTCTCTAAAGGAAAATAATATTCCATGGTGTATATAGACTACTTTCTGTTTGTTCATTCATTTGATGGGCAACCTTTGCTCAGGGACTCTCAATCAGATTGGCTAAGATGATTTCAGAACTACACCTTAGTCTGAAAGTCTTCCTACCAGTCCATCCTCACTCTGTTTCCAAGTTGTCAGACCTGCATGACAGTTTGACATGGCTCACCCCCTTCTGCTGAATCTCTCCCTCTAGTTTTCCAAGTAATACCTTGCAAGCCTAATCTCATCTTGCTGTTTGTTTGTCAGAGAAGCACACTGCTACAACAGCCTCTTAGGAAACGTTATTTTTTATTATTTCTTGGAAAGAAGAAGATGTATTTAAGGCAAATTTACAAAAACGATTTAGAATAAATTTCTTTCGATATATATATGTATATATTGAAAGACATTTCACTATATGTATAGAAGAATTAGAAAACACAGATAAGTAAAAAAGAGAGAAATAATTCCCCTGCTACTCCACTACCCTGAATGATTTTCAGTCATCACTATTTTCATTTTGAGGTATATCTGTCTAGATTTTTATGTCTATTTATGCAGTATCACATTCTTTTTTAGGAAACCAGCTTCTCCCTTAAGATGAATTGGATGGAATTGACTCTGCTGAGCTTACATTCCAAGCTTAACTTAATTTAGGAACACAGTCATTCATACATTCATTTAAAAAATATTTATTGAGCACACAGAATATAAGACAGATACAACTCTTGCCAGTCGAAAGTGTACAGTCTAGTAGATACTAGAGACATAATTCTAGTGAATTACAGTACACTGCTCTGCAGACCGAGCACGGCCACCCAGTATAAAATGGTTTCTTAATGAGAGTAGTATTTAAATCAAGTGGTATTTAAGTTGTGAGAAAAAACAAGGAGTTAACCAAACAACAGAGAAAGATTTCAAGAGACATCATTAGGCTAGTACCTATCCAAAAGGGACCATATATAAAAGATTTGGTTGCCTATAGAGCAGAGATGACTGTTCACAACCACCAAAGAGGGGCTGGCGATTTAGCTCAGCAGCATAAGCACCTGCCTTGCAAGCAGGCAGTTGTGAGTTTGATCCCTGGTACCGATGAAAAAAAGGAAAAACACAACCACCAAAGAAAATAAATGACTCTGTGTGTGTGTGTGTGTGTGTGTGTGTGTGTGTGTGCGTGCACGCACACGCCACTCAGCTTGAGCAAAAGATAAGATCTTAAGCATTCAAGGGTTCTTGAACAAATTATTAGTGGAGAAAGTAGATACTCAGGCACCTACCAGAGGAGAGGAACTAATTGGTTTTTAACATTGGCTTGGAAATATTGGTTAAGGATTAAGATCTCTGTGGTTAAGAATGGCTGCATTTCCATTGCTATAAAGTCTATAGGTCTAAGACACCACCAGATATCAAGAAGACACTCAGGAGCTTGGGCTATGGCTCCACAGTACAGACCTTCCCTAGCAAACACAAGGCCCTGGGTTTGATCTCTACCACCATCATCACAAGAAGACCCTTTGTTGTGACTGGTACCCATATCTTCATGAGTTTTCAGCCTGAAGAGGCCTTTCACAACAGGAAGACATCTGGATAATCCCAAGCCATTTGGCATCATCCCCAAGCCATCTCTTCTTAGGTGTGTAATTTGTTCAACACAAAATTTGGAGCTTAGAGTCTCACACGTGATGCAGGAAAAAATATGAAAGCTCAGCCTTTTCCCAAGTCAACCTCAGTTATTTATTCTTACCAGCCCTGCCCATCATAATTTCTAAGAGCAGGCTATAAATCAGCAGGAAGTAAGTATTGTTTTGACTAATGTTTGTATATTTATTCATTTATTGGCTGTGCCTTGTATATACTCTACTACTGAGCTACACTTCCAGGAACACTTTTTTTTTTTCCTAATTGGCAGCAGCTGACATCTTATTTCCTGACTCCTATAATTCTTGTTGGTCAAGTTCTATTTTAACAGATGGATATAAATAAAATCATTCAATGAGGTAATAACAAGAGGTCCCTACATGCTGCATGAGCACCAACATCTCATTAAATGTGAGTATCTGTACAGTGTAACCTGTTTTTTTTGTTTTTTGTTTTTTAAGAGGTAGACAACCACAGTGCTGTATTTTTAGATACGTCAGTGAGGCAGGCACCCACACATGCCACCACATTCCTCTTAACAATAAAGACAGCTCTTCTCTTCTCTTCTCTTCTCTTCTCTTCTCTTCTCTTCTCTGGCTCAGAGGAGACAGGGCTGTGATGACCTGGCAGTTTTTCTTCAGTGTCACCTTTTTTACAATCAGCAAGCCCTCCACTCTCATCTCTAAATTCAGTGCTTAGCACAGCAGTTGACAGCAAGTAGCATAGGAAATCCAGGCCCATTGCTGGTCAGTGAGGCCTTAGCAACAAGATGGACAGCAGCACCTCTAGCCCTGGTAGCTGGACCCTCAGAAGCAGACAACTAAAAGACCAGTAATACCCAGGGATATGTAAATGATGCCCCAAGGAGAGATGTCACCACCTTCCCTAGAGACAGGCATGCATGAGGGTCGTCACGGGGTAGGCGAACACTCACTAGTCTTCACAGCCAATTTGGCAGTCAGGATAAAAATATAACACCAGCGCATCATTTTCCAAAATTAAGGGCGATGCTATAGCAAATGTATGCAGATGTATACAGACACAGATGGGAACAAATGTATTTAATTGTAAATGAGTCAGAACGGAGCAAATGAGATTTCCCTTATATTTGGGTTCCAAAAATTACAGAAAAAATGTGCCTGAGGCAGAAACAAACCAAAATCATAAAAGGGTGGGGGATACAGTGGGGTGGGAGTTGTTTGTAGAGGCAGAAGCCTCAAGGGAAAAAAACCTTTGGCATCCAGAGGCTAAGATGGCTTTGGTCCTCTCTGGGAGTTATAAAAATGTCCTAGCTCCAAAGAACCAGATTCCAGTGGCACTAGATGGCTGAAGTGCTAATGGAGTGGACACAGGAACATGTGAGCAGGACTCAAGTACCTTGGCTTCATCCAGCCCGTAGATACCCAAGAAAATAAAGAAAAGTCTTTAATGGGAGAGGGGCAAGCCAAAAGCTAACTTTTGTATTCTCAAGAAACAAGCTGAGGCAGAGAGACAGACAGAAGAGAGGGAGGAATGTCTTTGCCCAGCTCCATATAACCAGAGAAGGGGCCAGAGAGAGACAAAGGAATAACAAAAGAATAGGGTGTGTTTGGGACCATCATTTCTCTTAACATCTTCAAGGAATTGCCAGGCTCTTGGTACACATTCAGAAAATACTGGAAGAAGGGAAGGATGGAAAGAACAATATGTCGTTCTCCAAGTCCCTCCCATTTTGTGGGATGAAGAACCATTGCAGCATTGCAGCAAATTGCCCAAGTGAGAAAGAAATAGCTTCCCTCAGGGTCAGGTCAGATGAGTAAGGCGGTGTAACACATACACCCCGCTGACCTCCTCCCTTGTAAGCTCAGGCCCTCCAACGGCAGCATTCTGGACAACACGTATCTACCTCTTCTGACTGAGCAATTGCAACTTGTCCCTCAGAGAACAAAAAAACAATGGTTTCAACCTAGTAGAGTGACTGGAAATCTCCAGGGACAACAATGCAAAATGCAAGTCAGAAAACTGTGCATGTGGGTAACTTCCAGGGCCTGCACCTCATGGGCATTTAATAATGAATGTGTGAATGCAGCCATGTGGAAATGAGGGAACACAACAAACTCTCCCCACCCAAAATAGGTCTCTGTGATTTGGGCCTTTCCCTTGCCCTCCCTGGACTGTTTCCTCTGTGTACCAACGGCTCTCTCTCTCTGCCTCTCAGTCTGGAGAAGCAGCAAACCCAGCCTTTTTCCTCTGATCCAGCTTCCCTGGCTGGTGAATTCCAGGAAGCCACAAAGTACAAACAAAGCCTGCTCCTGGAGGAAAAGGCTGGGGAGCTTTTATCCCCAGCCAACCCTGCATACTTTGGGTGATCACATGTGTTGCCCTAGTCTTATCTCTCCAGAAGGCCCAGAGGGCTGTGTTTGCTTGGCTGACATCTGGATGTAAGGCCACCACCCACCTTGACCTCTGTATTCAGCTGCTAGAAATTGTATATGTGTGCCTGATATTCTGCAGATGGACATAGGAGAAGTCTAAGTGTTCTGAGTGCCACACACCTGGAGCAGCACAAGGTTTAATGCTGAGGGTCCTTTGAGCAACCCCTTCAGGGGCCCAGTTTGCCAGTTACCAGTGGATAATGAGAGGAGTGTGGCAGGATGTGTCACAACTGTAGCATCTACCAAACTCGATAATTAATTGGAAGGCAGATTTGATAAGATGGAGAAAAAAGAGAGAGAAAAATCTCTGACAGTATAAGCAATAGAGCTGACCACGTGAGGGAAAAGCATCTAGTGGAAGCGTCAGTTCGATGCTAAGATCTGGAGAAGCAGCCCTACTCGATCATCTCCAAGCAAGAACTAAAAACCAACACTGCGCTTGTGTTTGCTAAGAGCTGTCTTTGTTTGAGTTCCTTGAAACAGATCCTGCAAAGGGACTTTAGTACAAATAGTTTATTCATAAAGTGATTCCAGGAGACACTCACAGGGGTGCGAGGAAGTAGAAAAAGAAAGGAAGGAAACCACTAATGGTGTTTTGTTAAGCTATTATATGGAAAATCGGAGCCCAGATCTGATGGGGAACTGTGGAAGACAATGGAGAACATACAGAGGGTTATCCTAACCAATGAGGGAGGAAGCTGCAGTATTCACTCACACACACACACACACACACACACACCCCATTGGTTGAGAAATGCTTCCTGGCTGAGTCATTAACTCTTCTGACACCCCCTTTTCTTGTTTAGAGGCCATGAAGTTTCCTGTGGCTAGAGCAAAACTGTCAGCAGAGACCCAGGCTGGAGAGAGTATTCTGTGTGGGCAGAGATGAGGACTGAGCGATTGGAGCAGAACAACATCTGCTAAGATGCCTGGAGCCTTCCAAACAATATCTTGGGCAAATTTGAAGGGATTTTCTATGCTTTAAAACTAAACAATCTCCCCCTGTATCTCCTGTTTTCCTCAAAGTATCAAGGCAATACAAAGCACCCACACTATCCCTCCTTTCACTTGTTCCTGTTGCTTTTAAATGCCCTTTTTTGTCATTGGAAAATGGCTTTGAATGTCCAGGAAATGTTCTTGCCCTAGTATAAATTACTATACAATTATGGTGGTGGTCTAACGTGGCGGAAGGCCAAAGCAGGGCCCCTTAGCACTCCCCGCTGCTTCTTCGGCCCTAATTGCAACTCCCTTTCCTGTTTGCACGCACAAAGTATTCCAATCAGTTCCTCACACGTTATCAGTTTCCATCCCATGCACCACTTCTGATCAGAGGCCATATAGCCCTCTGCCTTTCTGTGTCTGGTGGAAGGAGACAGTCTAGCTGCCATGGGTTGTGTGTTCCTTTCCACGTCCTCAACTTAATAAACCTGTTCGTTGTGTACTTTTATTTCCCTATTACGCCATAATACTCTATCAGTCCACCATTTGTTTTTCCTTTGCTGTGGACTTGAATTGTTTTCCTTCCACCTGACCTTTTTAAGAACATGTACCACTTCTTCCAATACTTTGCTCAGTCTTTGTTCTGCACCAGTTACACTCTGAGTGATGAGCAGGAATTCCAGGCAGAGGAAGCCACAGAGAACAGCACAGAAACAGGCGTGCTCTGCCCAGCGTCTTCCTGTCACCACGACACAAAGCTCAAGCGCCTGAGTGTGGCACTAAGTAACTTAACCCAATTTATCATTTTTGCCATCCACTTCTGATTTCTCCTACAGATTTAACTAATTGAACAACATTAATCAATGGTTTATTATACACTAGACATGGGCCAGGCAACAGAGGAACACCAGTGAACAAGACACAGTGGCACAGCTCCTGTTCTCAAAGAGGTTACAGCCCCTCAGGGTAGAGACTTCTCTAAAGACTGCCCTTTTCTGAAGAAGAAAGCTTTCAGGAGCCCAGAGCCACCAACCCTCCTCTTCTGAGCGCCCCTCGCCCTCTAAGGGACCAGCATCCAATAATCACTGCTCCTGGTAGTCATATCTCGTGTAGTTCCTTCCTTTACTATGTCAACTTGGTTTTTGTGGCCAAGAGAATAGAGCAGAAGTGATGCTTGCCACTTTTAAGACACTATTTTTTGTCTTTTTCTTTTTTATCAGTACCGGGGATCGAACTCACGACTGCCTGCTTGCAAGGCAGGTGCTTATGCTGCTGAGCTAAATCCCCAGCCCCTAATCACTATTTTTTGGTTTTTGGTTTTTTTGTATCAGGAATCAAACTCAGGAACTTGTACTTGCCAGGCCCTGCTTAATGCCGCTGAGCTACATCTCTGGCCCCTTGAATCACCTCTGAGATTAGGTTCTAAAAGATTCTCTCTCTCTCTCTCTCTCTCTCTCTCTCTCTCTCTCTCTCTCTCTCCCCCTCCCTCTTCTCCCTCCCTCCCTCCTTCTCTCCCTCTCCCTGTCTCTATCATTTTCTCTGGGATTCAGTTACTAAGTCATAATCACCTCTGTGCAGAAACCGAGACTTCCACAAACCAGATCACACCATGACTCATTTTAGAAGTGACTCCTCAAGGCCCAGGCAAGCCTTCAGATGATTGCAGACCCATGCAATGCAACCTCAGGGTGGAACTTTTTTTTAAAGCTGCTACGTTTGGGGATAATTCTTTTTACAGTAACAGATAATCACTGTATCACCTTTCACCCGCTAACTTCCCCCTCAACATCCAGGGCCCCTCTGCTTGTTTAATGGGGTTCACATTGTCCATGTGCTCACCAGCATCTCTTGGTGGGCCCAACAAACAGCGTTACAATATGGTTCTGAAGCTTCTTTCAAAGCTCAGCATTGGCAGAAACACTGTGCTATTCTTTCCCTTGGCAGTTTTTTCCTTAATTTATGTTTCTTTATACAACTGAAAGAAAAAAAGAAGCCATAATTTCCTGATTCATTTGCACTTGCCCCTTCCCTATGGCTTTGTGAGCCTGACATGATGCAGGAGAGTTTATTCTCTGAGTCCCTTAAAGCTCCCCTAGTACAAAAGAAGTTAGCTTGCCAAGAATGAATGGAATTTGGGCCTCCAAAGGTTGGAATTGGATTTTAAATCTGGAATTTGTGTTCTCTGAGTGGGCTCCAAACCTGGCAGCTTTCTTACCTTCCTCTGATTCAGCCTGTCTGCCTCATTGGATTGCTTTTTTCATCAGAGCTATACAAACACTTCCTAGGGCAGTTTTCCCAGAGGACATGATGGAAATGTGCACCAAGTACTGAATTATTTGAATGCCATCTCACAGAATTGTGCATGCTTAAATTGAATCACAGCACTGGACTCTCAGTAGAGGGTCAACTCTCTGGATCTTGGATTTCTCTTTTTTGTTTTTATCCTCAAAAGCATCCAAAAATTGCTAAGAGACCTTAAACTGTCTATGTACCCCAGAGCACTATCCTGGGACTGAGGAATCATTTCTCCTGACTTTGTGATAGTGTAGAGTAGGAGATAAGATTTTTTTTAAAAAGTAGTTTTACTTACTTTAGGCAAATTTGATTTGTTCCTGTCTTTTGAAGTAACTATAAATTGTTCTGAACGACCTGAAGGATTTGGGAGGATATACACTATCAAGCCCCTCCTATGATTGTTTTTTTTTTTTTTTTTTCATTCATTCTTTACAAAACCCAGGAGAAGACGGAATTAACAGATTGTTTGTTTGTTTGTTTGCCTTTTTTTTTCTAGTACTAGGGATTGAATTCAAATTCAACTAGTGCTAAGCTATATCCACAGTCCTTTTTAAAATTTTTCATTTTGAAGCAGGGTTTCCCTAAATTCTCCAGGCTAGCCTCCAATTCATGATCTTTCTTCTTCAAAGGACTAAGTAGCTGGGAGTAAAGGCATGTTCCACCAATTCTGGTTGATGACAGCTTTAAAGCATGACTTCATACTCCTTGATTCTCTTCTCACCAAGTGGTAGGGTCTATTCTATGTTCTGATCCTTAAATATAGGCAGATGGTGACTTCTCTAATCATGGAATATGGAGGAAATGTTACTGTGAGGTTCCCAAACTGTGAGTCCCTACCCTGTTGGCTGTCAGAGTCACTGTTAGAGCCCAGAGTTACCATATAAACAGTCATATAGGCCACCATGCTGCAAAGAAGCCCATGCCATTTTGAGAGGAAAAGGTGTGTTTGTTGACACTAGTTTCTATTCCTCCTAGTCCAGGCACTAGATATGTAAGTAGAAAAGCCTCTAGATAATTTCAATCATTAAAGTTACCCATTTGTATGTCATCTTAATGTAGGAAAAATATAAGACCCAACCCATTAGATGTCAAATGTGCTGAGTTTGTAATTCCACAACATTGAGGAATGAAGTTGTGAGCCAAAGGAAGAATTTAGGAGAGTTTTATTGGAAATAAAGAGATAAAAAATAGCTCCTGAATTTCCAGAGGGGATTCCAAATGGGGCTCTTTGTTAGGGGTATTTTATACAGCAAAATCATATGGTGTGTACAACATGGGTCAAACTGCCATCAGCCTACAGGGTTACAAGTATAGCTGCTTAGCTAACATTGATCCAATAGGAAAGTGAGTCACATAGCAAAGGTACATGAAGAGATCGAAGGCATTTTTGGGAAGGGATGGCTCCAGATTCTTTGGTCATACGCCTGCGAATTGATGCCTGTCTTCTATCTGGAATTATTGCACCAGGTGGTGCTAATTATAATATAATCTCAAGTTGTTGTTTATCCCTTAGGGAGGCATGTAGGCCTGGCCTTTCCATCTTTATCTTGATCCCTGGGCCTTCTTCAGATGTACCTTAGGTCATAATTCTGATGTCTTTATTTTGTAATGACTTTTGAGTGCTCAGTCTGTCTCTGACTGTATATTAATTTTTATCTAACTTAGCTGCCTGTAATATTATTAGCTAAAGGCTCAGACATCATGACTCAGAAACAACCTGCATCATTACTTTCTCATCTCTGGGACAAAATACTATACCTGATACCCACAATTTAAAGGAAAAGAGGTTTATTTATGGGTTATGGTTTCAGTGGGTTCAGTTTATGGTTGGCTGGCTCCAAGGTACAAATGCAGAAGAACATGGTAGAAGAAAGCTTCTCAACTATGGCAGCCAGGAAGTAGCGAAAGAGAAAGGAACCTGAGACAAGAGCATGCCCTTCTGTGTCATTCCTTCAGTGACTCACCTCTTCCAATTAGGTCTTGCCACCTAACAGCACACTGAACTATGAAGTCATCAATGAATTAATCCAGTGATGAGTATAGTGCTCTCATGATCGTATCACTTTTTAAAGTATATGAGACACTTGGGAACATTTTAGATCTAAACCATAATATTCTGTCCCTTACCCCCAAAAGGCTCATGTCCATCTCATTATTCAAAATGTTTTCTGTCCATCTCCAAGAGTCGCCAGAGTCTCAACAGATTCAGCATTGGTCAAAAGTCTAAATCCAAAGTCTTCTCTGAGACTTAAGACAGACTCATAGTTGTGAATCCCTATAAAAATAAAAAATAAGTTAAATATTCCCAACACATGACAGTGGCACATTATCATTCTGAAAGGGAGCAATATGGAGATAGAAAGGAATAAAACCAAAGTAAGAACAAATCCCTAACAGGGCACACATTAATTCTCATAGCTTCATGTCCAGCATCTGGGGCACATGGTGAGATGTGAGTTTAAGTTAGTAGGTGATTAAAAAATGATCCAAACTCAGGTCATTTAAATATAAAACCCCTCCTTTTTCCGCTAGAGATTCAGTCAGGGATGAGATGAAAGAACTAGCTGGATAGGGGCAGGGGATCATACAGTTAACAATTCTTATCTGTAACCATATTACAATTGAACCATACTACAGCACAAGATTTACCTTCCCATCATGGAGGAAGCCCACATACACACTTCAACTCCTGGGACATTACAAAGATCAGTCTAGCATCCTGGATTGGTTGTTGTTTGAAGCTGAGTGTAGAAAGCATGAACAAGATGCCTGGGCCTGGAGCTTTCATCTCCAGCAGCTCAGACCTTTGTGTGGGTACAATATTGACCCATTTTTTCAGTCAGGTTCTGCCCTCCAGGAGATGCTCTGAGCCAGGACCTCTTTGAGGACTGGTCAGAAGCCCTTTGAAGACTGGCCTAAAAATATGGTTCCCTTTGAGGGATAGAGGTGAGGCAGGTTTGGTCCTTTGTTCCCTGTGAAGAAGGAACATAGGATCTGACTTCTTCTCTTCCCTGTTTACAGTAGTATTGAGGGGTTCATTTTATTAGTCTTTACAAAGTCTCTGGAGGTTGTCAGGTGCAAGGTGCTATAATAAGTGTGAAATTTAACTTCTTTTTGATCAAGGCAAAAAAAAAAAAAATCCAGCCTGCAGAGATTCAAGTGCTGGAAATCTGCTTGTGAAAGACAGGGACCCTGTTGTCAACTTTA